CAACGGGCCAAAACCACATCTGACTGCAGGCATCCGACTCCTTTGGTGTGACTCATGTAAACACGCCGTTTGATTGAATTCCTGGCACAATCAATAGGGTTTCTAGTTGCCACATCGGTCGCATCTGCAGAAAGTCTATGGAAGCATCATTTAATTCTTACTTGTTACTTCTGACACTTAAGAAACGCCGGCATCTCTTTACATGTGGTAACGAAATCATGGGTATATTACCAAGATTAAATCTCACAAGAATGCCTGCCTTTCTGATTTGCTGCTTGCTAAAATTAGCAGGCTTCTTACAGTACCGCCTGTGAGGATTCTGTGAGATGAGAAATTTCAAAACTTTCCACACCTTTCCACACCCACCAACTGCTTCCCCCATCAGAACAAATTGATTTTTCTAGTCTCTGTTTATTGGCGCAGCATTTTGTAGCCTAATAGCTAATTTTTGAGAACATTAATGCATCTACCTATAATGAGCGTTCGATATGTGTTAGGAGGTGTGTTAAATTTTATATGTGTAGAGCCTTGTTTAACCTTCCAAGAAACAGTCTGACATTTCTTTCCACGGCACAACTGTGGAAACTGAGGCAGAGCGTATTGGTGGCAGAGGATAGAGCTAAGACTGGGTTCTAGTATTGATTTGTTCCTAATCCTACTGGAGGTAAGAGGATCGGAGTTCAATGCCATCCTTGGGTACATAAAGACCCTGAGGCCAGCATTGGATGCAGAATTGAAGAAAGAGGGAGATTTTATCATTGTAAGGGTGTTACCATTTTATAAAACCAGTGTATGAACAACGGGTGGATGGATGGATAGATGGATGGATGGTGGAAAGATGGATGGGTAGGTGGATGGATAGATGGATCAATGGATAATAGATGGACAGATAGAAGGATGAATGGATAATGGATAGATGGATGGACAGATAGAAGGACAGATGGATGATTGATGGATGGGTGGATGAATGGATGGGTGAATGGTGGATAATGGCCGATGGATGAATGAATACTGGGTACATATATTTAAATATATAGCAATTGCTATTTTAATTCATTTACTTGACAGGTGTCAAAATAAGCCCAGACAGGTAGACTATCTCTCCAAAGGGCATGGCTGCAAAGCAGCAGGGACAATATCAGTGTGTGCGTGGCGCATCCCCCTGCCAACCGCTGTGAGACACACTTTAGGCCTGAGCTGCTTAGCCTTTCACTTGTTTGTGCCCGTTTTGTTTCAGCATTTAGAACCCAGGTTGAGAGACACGTCCACAATATCCCTTTGCCCAGCTACCTGTACCGTGTTCAGCAGTCATATATTAACCACTCACTGTCTGCGTCCTTGCTCACTGCATAGCTTTTGAAGTGATCCTGGGTGAACACTGCTTACGTGGCAACCACCGTTTGACATTATTCCTCTGATGGTAGTTATAGATTCTGTGAATTTTGCCTTCTCCCATATCACTGTGGAAAAAAAAATCCCAGTAATACCATACTACATGCCCACTCAGAGGCTGAACGCAGGAGGGTGAGAAGTTCAAGGCCATCTTTGGCCACATAGAGAGCTCAAGTTTAGTCTTGGATCTGTGAGAGCCCGACTCGGAAAAACAAAAACAAAAACCAAGAATGCCATAAAATGTGAGTATCCATTCTGAATGCAAGAGATGTGCCTGGGCTGTAGGAAGCCTTCCACTCTGCGGAGCATAGTTCTGCCATTGCTTTCCCCCTGCTTTAAAGCATCATGTGAATCAAGGATGGGTGATGAGCTTCATCTGCTGCTGGTGGAGTTGTCCTGGGATGGTCTTGTGGTTTCCTCTTCAACTCAGGCCATGGTTTTACCTTGTTGGTGTTTGAGAAAGAGTCATGCTGCCCTCACAGCCTTCCAACCATACATACATCCTGCTGCAGTAAGCAACCACATCATCGGGTTTTTAGGTGGTATTTATTATTAATCATTGTGTGTTTGAGCACATGCATGTGCGTGTGTATAAGTAAGAGAGGTGGAGAGAGAGGGAGGATGGAGGGAGAGAGGGATGAAGAGAGGGAATTGTGCGATATGTCTGCACCACCTTCAGGGCTCATATTTTCCTTCCAGTGAGTTCCAAGAGTTGCACTTACATCATCAGGTTATATAGCAAGCATTTTTACCCACTGGGCAGCCCACAGTGCCATTACTAGAATGTTGGCTCAGTCTTGCACTGTTCTGCACCTTTGCTCTGGATATACTCTTACATAGATTGTGCATTTTGTTTGCTAACATTTTGTTAGGATTTGTGAGCTTGTGTTTGTGATAACCTGGTCAGATTTTATCAAGAGTGACATTATCTAATGTGTGTGTGTTCTTTGTATTTTAGATGTGTAAGTGATACCTCTGAATTTAAGTACAATCTTCAAAGCAAACCTTGCAGAAGGAGGCTGGGGAGATGTCTCCATAGATGGTTTTCTTGACATGCCAGCATGAAGCATGAGTTGAGGTTCTCAGCATCACATAAAAGCCATGCACCGCAGCAGACCAGCCTCCTCCGAAGACGGGAGGAGCTTCGGGGCTTGCTGGTCAGCCAGTGTAAACTCATCAATGAGCTCCGGGCTCAATGGGAGACCTGTCTCAAAAATCAAGGTAGACAGAGAATAACTAAGGAAGAGACCTAATGTCAACCTCTGGCCTCCGCAGGCATGCAGCCACACGGAGAAGTATTTGTGCTATGTAAGGAGATCTGGCAATTATCCACGGTATGGAGTAACCTGGGACAGCCACTCCTTGAATAATTAACCACAGTGACCCATATGTCTTTCCAATCAGAAGGAGCCATCCCTGCTACATGTGTCACATGACTGGCCCATGCTGGGCAGTCTTCCTATGTCGTTTACTCTGACATTCACAGTCTGCTCAGCTGAAGATTCTAGATCAACGGTAGATATTTTAACCACAGAAATGCCCCCTGTGGATATGTGTGGGCGGTTCAACACATGCTATTGCCCTAGGAAAAGTGCATGATGTGCACTTTCACATGGAAATGCCCCCAGGAAGTCCTGCCGTGAGAAATAAAACTTTAAGAAAAAGATCAAATGAGAAGTATGTCTCCTGAGCTGGCTGGGTGCTCAGAAGCTAAAGGGTTAGTGCCCGTTTTAAGCTGTCACTCACTCAGCAGGTCTAGCAAACTTTGGAAATTGCTACTTGACTAGACTATCATACCTGCTGTTCGCTGCTAAATTATTTGGATAATTCAAAAAAGGAATTTTATCTGTTTTTTTTTCCATCCTGACTGTTTTGTTTGTTTGTTTGTTTTGTGGTTTTTCAAGAAAGGGTTTCTCTGTGTAGCTTTGGTGTCTGTCCTGGAACTTGCTCTGTAGACCAGGCTGGGCTCGAACTCACAGGAGGCCACCTCTGCCTCCCAAGGGCTGCGATTAAAGGCTTGCACCACTGCCGCCCAGCTGTTCTTTTCTCTTGACTTGCCCTTTCCATTCAAACATTTCCATATTCCCCCACAAAAAAAAAAGAACCCCACTGACATCAACAGTGAATAATCTTTACTTCTTAGGCTGAATACTAAACAGAATATTTGAATAGAATTGAGGATCTTCTTCCTTTTATTTGGAGGCCCTAAACTCAAATCAAATGAGCCACTTAGAAGTCATTAATGAAAGTTTCATCTTGGCTGAGAAATGAGTATCCGGAAGACTTCTTTTAGTCTTTGTTGGACGCATAGCTTACGTTTTATGTGGTGGATGAGAAGCTTTAGAAACCACTCCTTCTCCCATATATCTAGAGAGCTATTTTAGAAGAAAAGGAGCCCGCTCTGGAAAGCTTCTCAGCAGTAAACTCTTTTCTGAAGTCTGAGCCCTTTCATTTGGCTGGTGAGTAAACTGTGTCCTGGCTAGTGACACTGTCCAACCAAGAGAGTTCTCCCACGGGGGACCCCAAACAGTCCAGACACGTATCATCAGCTGTGTGCAGCCCCAAAGGTCAGGTCCCACCAGGCCCTGTCTCTGTTCTTCACTAGATTGAATAGGACAAAAAGCCTAGCATTTCAAAACAACAGTAATAGGGAACTAGAACAGAACACACTAAATTGAAGGAAACAATGTTTCTCTTAGCAAAGCCCTCCATCTGTCAGACCCTCCGCCCCTCATGAATGGAGAGAAGGGAAAAAGGCATTTCAAGAGAATTCCAGAGTATATTTCATCTACTCATGTCTGTCTCTTTATAAGTTCTTATACAGGATAATGGCCACCTTAATTGTCTTCTGAGAATACACAGCCACATCAATACCTAAAACCCAGAAGTAATCACACAGCACAAACACTTAGAAGAACAACAGTAGCCGGAAGGTGGTAGCGCACTCCTTTATTCTCAGCACTCAGGGAGGCAGAGGCAAATGGATCTCTGTGAGTTCAAGGCCAGTCTGATCTACAGAGCAAGTACCAGGACCACCAGGACTACACAGAGAAATACTGTCATGAAAAACATAATAATAATAATAATAATAGCAACAGTAGTATAGGCCCCTTTCTCTGAAAGCAAGAGTCTTTAAATCCAAGTGTGAGTGTGTGTGTTAAATTACTTACTTTGATATTATGAGCAATAGAAATTCCTTTGGATTCAAGAGTTGAAAACTGCTCCCAAAACAAAAGTAAGTTGAACACTGACTTTGGTTTGTCTCTTTTATACAAATATCTTTAGCTACTCCAGTGCCAAGAAACTCAGAGGAAAAAAAATAAGAGTTGTTGTCTCTAGCAAGGACATTGTATTGGCACAGAATAGGAAGAGATGTCACTTGTAAGCCCATGGTCATCACACATTTGTATAGCTGGCTCTCCCACCAGATAAATATGGATATTTAAAGAACAAGAGATGTTCTTTATTTGAATAAGGGTAACTGGCATAATCTCTGGAAGCCCAAGTCCCTGCCTTACCCATGTTGCCCATTCTAGATAAATTGGACATCATAGCCACTCCACCTGGTGAAGCAAGCTGTTTCAGCTGTGTGGCTTTTCCTCTGGATCAATCTGGAGCTGTTGGCATGATGCGAAACATTGCAGTCTCCTCTTGTCTCACGGGAAAGTGGAGCGATGACTTGATATCTTCGGGAAATAGCAAGAAATGAACTCAAGGCCAAGCATCCTCTTTGTCTTGATGGCAAGGGGGTAATATCATTTGGGGATACCTGAGCAATAAATGTTGGCTACTTGTCAAGGACCATGAGGCACTTCGAGTTTTTAACCTTATAAATACCAGTGCCCTTTGGCTCTCTCTGGCTTCAAATATAAACTATGATGCACTACAGACTTCTGGCAAGTGGCTTTGCCTCTCTGAATCTAGGCTCACTCATCTATAAAATGCTCCCTTCTCATGAAGCCACTGTAAAGAGTTCATGACTGTCCAATTCTTAGGTCCCACACCTAACACATAGCAGGTGCTTACTAAATGTTGGCTGGTATTACAGATTACAAAATCATGCTTGCTTGTGGCATGTTAGTCTGTGTGAAATGTGTTTTCCGATCTACAAGTGCCCCTTCATGAGTAATGTATATTGGCTGTGGCTACAACAGGACAAATGGACACACTCCCTTGACAGGCTCGGCTTTGTTAAATAGAAGGTCTGCATATATCATTAGAGAAAATTACAACTAAGGGATCCTGTAAAAAAATTATTGTCATTTATTATAACATTCAAAATGCTTGGGATCAGAAATCGTTCAGATTTTGAATTTTGTTGGCGTGTAGAATTTATTATACTGACATAATGAACTGTCTTGGGTATAGAAACAAGTCTAAACAGGAAATGCATTTGTATTTCATAAACCTTATACACATAACTGAAAGCTATTAGATATATTTTTCACTGATTTTGTACACAAAACAGTCTTCTAATGGGAAAATTCCCACCTATTAGATATGATATCATGTCAGCACCCAAAAGTGTGTGGAATTTGGAGTATTTTATATTCCCAGATTAGGAATGCTCAACCTATGTTTAAAACTATGGCATCTTATAGTTCAGTTGCTAACATGCTTGCAAGCACAAGGACCCACATTCAACTTGTGTTTGCAGTCCTGGCACTGGGGAGCAGAAACAGGCAGCTCCCTAGGGCTCACTGACCAACCAGTCTAGCCTATTCTAATGGATGAGCCCTAGGTCTTGCTGAGAGTAGAAGACAAATGAGACAGCTTCTGAAGAAGAGCCCTGAGGGTGACCTCTGACCTCTACAGGCATGTACACACACACACACACACACACACACACACACACACACACACACATGCCTGTGTACACAGGGCACAGAAACACGAGAGAGAGAGAGAGAGAGAGAGAGAGAGAGAGAGAACTATTGGCTTTCCTACCCATACTGCTGTTTGAATGACTTTTGGCAGAGATGGAAACTGAAAGGAAACCTTCCATGCCTTCTCAAAACCCTAGGCTCCTTAAGACTGACCCTGTGCCAGAAGTCTCCTGGCCCCTGGCTTCCTTGGCTCATATGCACAAGAGAGGAAACACAAAGCTGATCCCGACATGCTTAACTGATCATGTCACTCGCAGAGATGCAGTTAACGGCTTGCCCATGAAAGGGAACTTACCAAGTGATAAACGGGCTGTGAAAGAGTCAGCATAAATCTCCTCGGAGCTAAGGAGAGACCCGGCGTTGTCTGTCCAAACTGATGTTCACGAGTCCCCGGGAGGAAGACTGGCAGCTGCACACTTGTATTGGGAGCCTGTTGGAAAGGCATTGCACCAGTTGAAGACAAGCTGGCTTAGTCTTTCCTGGGCTGTGTTAGGTGTCCTTCAAGGGCACGGCGCTTTTTTGTGTACTCATTTTAAGGGAAATCTATTTAGAACTCAGTGTGATATATATCAAAGTACTTAATATTTGTTTACACGTGGCCTACCAGCAGGCATGGAATTCGGGGTTAGCCAGGATGGCTTCCCTCTCACAGAAACAAGTCACTCGGCCTCTGGCAAACCTCACTTCTCAGTCTCTTATGTTGGAGACAGTGTACTTAAAAGCTGTCCTGAAGATCAGATGGTCTATGCATTAAAGATGCTGAGCGAGCAAGCATGATACAAATATAGGCTGTCGGTGGAATTGCTTTTCTGAAGTGAGGCTTTTTGTGCATATGTATGTAGAGCGTACTTACTTTTCCGGTTTCTGCATGGAGAACAGTTCACTTCTGTGGGTGGAGAGACACACAACGGTTGGAAGTCAGTAACAGAGCAAGACTCCTGGAGGTGGAGTTACAGGCGGTTGTGAGTCGGCTGATGTGTGTGCTAGGAACTGAACTTGGGTTCTCTGCTTGAGCAGTTGTACGCTTTGAAAAGCCCCAACCACAGTGCTTTTAAATGGCCTCATGGGCCCATTTTCAAACTTGTAGATCTGTGTAGACCTTTACCTTTTACATCAGCATTCTTCCATTTGCCATTAGCAACTGTTCAGTAAGGAATCGTTCCTGCCTCCCTGTGGCTTTCAGAACACCACACACACACACACACACACACACACACACACACACACACACACTGAATAAAATCACATGGCCACTTAGTGAATGGTCAAAGTGTAGTTTTCTTTTTCTTTTCTTCTCTCTTATTCCTTGTTCCTTTTCATGTGTGTTCAGGGTTTGGTTTTTTTTGTTCGTTTGTTTGTTTTTGGTTGTTTTCCTTGGTGGTGATGGTGGCTGTCGCAGCTGCAGCATTGGCAGTGGTAGCAGTAGTGATAACACCGGTGGTGGGGCTGGGGTTGATGCTTGTTTGGTAAAGATAAACAGATATTATGTCTAACAGTCAGGCGACATAGCTTTAAACATGCCATGGCACAGAAATGTTATTTATTTTTAATTAGGTAAGACTGTAGAATAGCTCTAACGTATTTTGCGGTATTGACAGTGAATGTGCATGTAAGTTTGTCCCTGAAATAAATGTCCTTTTCAGATGCAGAACTGTTATCAGAGGCTGTTCGTTGGCTCCTGGCCGCTCAGACCCGAAAAAATTACACAGAAATCTGTATCATTTGCAAAATTGTTTGGCCAATAGCTTAAGCGTATTCTAGCTCTTATATCTTAAATTAACCCATTTCTATGCATTCAGTTTAGTTCCCCCCCTCCTGCCTAGCTCTATTCTGCCTTAAAACAGGACAAAGCGGCTTTTTTATTCATTAACCAATAAAAGCAACACATATACAGAAGGGCTACCCACATCACAGAACATTTTTTCCAAGCCAGAGCCATATTATTATCTTTAAAAAGCTGATGACACACACAGGGACTCAGATCTTTTCCAGTCTCTACTTCCATAATGGAACAAAGGACAGCCGGCTCCTGCCTCTTGAGCATGCGGAGCTAAGACAGGAGGAGCTCTCTTGGCACAAGAGACTTTTAACTAGAAGAAGAATGTAGTTAGGACTTCCAGGCTTACAAAAGCACATATTTTAACAAACTCATCCAATGCCAACAGGAAACCTAAAAACCAATGCATAGAGAAAAGAGATCATGCTACCCTCCACGCATTCCGCAGTATGTTGTGCGGACTTAATCTCGACAGATTTCATCCACTAATACCTAGAAAAATAGAAATTGTGTTGTAAGTTTTATCCCCCCACAAAAAAAGCAATAAAAAGTACAGAACCTTAATACATTGATCTTTAAGTGGGTACCCACTCAGATCCCACGACCAGATTCACTAGCTTAGCCTGAGTATTCATCTGTATCTTTTTCTACAAATACCTTTTCAATATGTTTGTCCACCCAACCGCCTTAGGATGTGATGGAATGCACACAGCTCTACAGAGTTGTTGATGCTGTCCACCTGCAGCTCTTACGAAAACAGGGTAGCTGACGGTGTCTGCCACAAACCAGAGAAGCTCTGGTGTCCTCCAGACACGTGGCAGAGAGCAGGAAGAGCTGGAACCTCTACGTTGCAGGGTTGACTTGAAAAACGCAGCCAATTCATTTTACAACAGCTGGGTCGCTCAGAATCAGGGTTTTTATTCTTATTCAAGCGAGTGCAGCTTCATACAAAACCTTCCCATGGTGCTGGAGACAAAAACAATTGTTTTCTATGGCAGATATATCAACCGCACGAAAGTTGGAGAAATAGCTCCGAGACAGGAAGCTGGGAAATACCTGGCCTAGTTGGTTTGGCTAGAGCGACTCGTAGAGGTGTTGTTGCTCCAACATCTGGATATTGGATGAAAGGGTATCTGCAGAACGGGGTCCCAAGAGCTCATTTTCTCTTTGGATCATCAACACACAGCATTATGGGAGCACACAGACACACATCCCTGTCCCTTGTCACTAACCAAAGACCAGGCCTGTGGATGGAGCAGCTCAGATCAACTCTACGACTTCTGGAAGCCTGGTATCCAGGGTCATTTAGATAAAGCTGCTTATAAAGGCTTATGACATCTAGCGCCCTGTCTTAACCAGGCTCTAGAGCCCGGAGCAGTTCTTTAGAGTCAGCCAGTCAGTGACGGCAGTCTGTTAGTCCGTGTGCCACCAGCCACTTCACGTCTTAGGTGCCTCAAAGTTCTTGGCCACTGCCACAACAGCTGTGTCAACCCAGCAATCTCCCCCAACAGCTGTTTCTCAATAAACCTTTTGACCAAATGCAGCTGTTCTTTAAAAGCAGGCACATCGGCCGGCTTACTTTCTCCCGTGTATTTAACCCTGTAAGTGCTTATCTGAGATGACTCCCTAGCACCTGCCATGCAATGCCCAGACATTCTTCCATACCACCAGCCGGGTGTAGATCTAGCACTCCAGACTGATGGGTGGGCGGTGGAAGCTTGCACGCCCCAGTGGTCCAAGCCGCCCACAGCTATTTCATTGATCACCGGAGGGGACCCTTTGCGCCTGCGCGGGAGGGAGGGGCGTTGGCGCCTCTGGCTGTCGGTTACAGACCGCTAAAATGAGGACTTAACACTACAGAACTGAGAAAGCCCTCACCATGGGAATTTTATGTAAGTAATTTCCCACATCCACGGATATACTGGGAAAAGATTCGGGCAATAGAAGCCCTGAGCACTTGTAATTGAGTTGATAATAGAGTTTTCCTGAAGGGGGGGGTTGCATATTTAAGTTGCAATTTGAAAATTATGACCCTAGAATAGTTTTCTATTTAATTCAACAATGCAGAGCTGGAGGGTTGGCTCAGCAGCTGGGAATCCTGCAGCTCTTGCAGAGGACTGGAGTTCAGCTCCCAGAATCCACTGGTGGGCAGCTCTCAATCACCTTCAAACTCCAGTTCCAGGGATCTGACGCCCTCTTCTGACTTCTGCAGGCGCCTGCACTCATGTGCGTATCCCCCTAGGCAGCCATGCATATGCACACATACTTAAACATAAAAATAAATATTAAAAAATAAAATTAAGAATATTCAACAAAAGAAAGATAACCCACCTGTATAAAATAACCGAACACATAAGCATCTCTTTCGGCAATAAGAGGATAGAGGATAAGTGTGGTCAGTTTGCCCAGGATGTTTGACAGTGTTAGTCATTAGGGAAATGCAAATGGGAACCACAATGAGATCTTTTTCTCAACAGTGATTGTGTAACAAACACACACACACACACACATACACACACAAACAATAAAACACTACTGTTGGGAATGCAAAACATACAGTCATTCTGAAAACAAAGTCTGACAGTTTATTTAGCATTTAATTCAGGACTTGGCATACTGAAGCATTCATCTCAAAGAAAAAATATCCACACAAAAACTTGTGTACAAACGTTTATGGAAGTGATTTTTTCATTGTAGCAAAATGTTGCAAGAACTTAAATGCCATTCCATGGGTGAATGAGCACACCCTAGTATGCCCATATAATAGACCCTCAGTCAGTAAGGAAATGGAATGAATTATTGATGCAGACGACACCCTGACTGGACCTCGAAGGCAGTGTATGCTGTGAAAAATTCAGTCTAAAAATATCACACATTAATATGCCAAATAGTATGTCTCCTAGTGGTAAAAATCTAGAAATGGGAGGAAGATTAATGGTCACGGGGCAATCATGATTGCCGAAGGGTCAGTAGCAAGTGGTTTTATTGGTAATTAAATAACACTTACATATGCAAATTGTGGTGTTTAAAATCTTAATTTATTATTATTGTGTTGTGTGTGCAAAAAATACACACATGTGAGATGGCTGATCTAGAATGTTTTTGTTGTTGGTGTTGGTTGTTGGGAGGTGTTTTATTTTACTTTTGGGGGAGTTTTTTGGTTTGGTTTGGTTTTTCGTTTTTTTGTTGTTGTTCTTTTGGCTTGGGATTTTTTGGGGGATGGGGGAGCAATAGCATTGGTAAAAATACCTACTATAAAAATTCTAACATCACTTTTGGGCAGTAAAATAATATAGGGAGAGAAAAATGCTGGCTAATTTTCACTGAGGCCCCAATTCTTGTTATGTGCGGTGAACGGTGTTGATCGTGTAAGTGAACAGTAGTTTTAACTAGAAAGGCTGGTTCGTCTGTAGGCTGGTGTGGGGATATTTTGTTTGTGCTTTAACAAATAAAGCTTGCCTGAAGGTCAGAGAAGCACAGCAGTCAACCACTCGTTCTTACCTCTACCAAATCCTCAAACCAAAAGGGCAATCTTGTCTCTAGGAATCCTCAGACTGAATGCCTTGGTCTCCTGTCCCTCCTGTTTTATATTCCTCTCTCTCTCTCTCTCTCTCTCTCTCTCTCTCTCTCTCTCTCTGCCAGCTGATCACTTCCTGTCTCCACCTCCCTAGTGCTGGGATTAAAGGTGTGAGGCACCACCACTAAGCTCTGTTTCTCTTTTAGACAGAAGCAATATAGTGTAGCCCTGGGTGGCCTTGAAACTCTCGGAGATCTGTCTGCCTCTATCTCCCAAGGACTGGGATTAATGGTGTCTGCTACCATTGCTTGGCCTCCATGGCTAACTAGTGTGGCTAGCTCCACACTCTGATCTTCAGGCAAGCTTTATTTGTCAAAGCGCAAACAAAATACCTCCACAGGCTGGAGCACAGACAAGGGCTGGCGTGATGCTGCATGCTGTCTGCTTTGTTCCTCTTCTCTCCTTCCTGTTAGTAGACACAGCACGTACAGCATGCCCCCAGTTCTCCACCTTCAAGAATCACAAGTTGTGTGTGTGAAGTTTGGGGACGTGTGGCCCTGGATGTGGATGGCAGTGTCTTTTGGAGATCCGGTCCCTCGCTTGGAAAAAAAAAAAAAATCCAACCATTTTTTTCTTCTGCTGCATCTGAAGTCACAGTGAATAACAATGTATTTTCCTGGGACTTCCTCCAGTCATTTCCCCCCCCAGGTTCAGGTACTCCGTGAGGGTCATTTCAAAATGGCTAGTCACCGTTCCAGACCTTTACAAGGATGGCCCTTTGGGAGTTCAGGAGAGGGGCAGGCAGAGAATCCCAAGAGCATGCATAGTACTGGGTGTCTTCCACCTCTTGGTCCTGGCCTGATGCTTCAGAAAAGCATTCTCACTTATCCTTTTGATTATTTGTGTCCATGTGCAGGTGTGTGAGCATGCTCACGTGGATGGGAGTAATGGGTGGTACACAGCTGTGCTCTTATTGTGGCGTCCGGAGGTCAACCTTAGGGTTGTTCCATAGGAGCCGCCCCTCCCCCCTTTTGAGGCAAGGTCTCTCACTGGGTCTAGGGGCTGCTGAATCAGCCTGGCTTTTGCGTCAGTGAGCCCCAAGTGCCCCCACCTCACCAGCGTGGGAAAGCACAAGGACGTACCATGACACTGGGCCTTTTGCGTGTGTGCTGAAGATAAACTCAGGTTCTCACACTCGTGTGGCCAGCAGCACTACACTGAGCTATCTCACCACGCTCATCTTTTTGTTGCATGACTGAGGAAGTAAAAGACACCGCAGAGGACCGGATGTTACAACGAAAGTTAGTGATAAGGCCAGCCCTGAATGATCTGGTCCCAAATGTCCGCAACTGACAACGTGAACAATTTAAATTTCCTTTGCCTCTGTTACCCCATCTGTAAAATGGGTCTGACAGCAATAGCAGAGGGCCTCCTCCGCTGTGGTGATCTGATGAGAAAAGAAAGGTGTTTTAAGCCATTCCCCACTTCACTTGGGGGCCACGAT